GGCCGTCTCCAGACCCGCTTGGTACTGCTGGGGACGCGTGGGACCAGCGAAATGGTGGAGCACTCTGTGATCCACGGGGTGCCACCAGATCCGCACCGGGCCTGTACCGCGCTGCGGGAGCCAGGCTGGCCTTCAGGGGACCTCGTGTGTCTCCTCAGCGGCGGCCGCGCTTGCGCCCTTCACCGTAACCCGGCGCATCGGCCACCCCTACCAGAACCGGACGCCGCCCAAGCGTAAGAAGCCGCGCACGTCCTTTTCCCGGGTGCAGATCTGTGAGCTGGAAAAGCGCTTCCACCGCCAGAAGTACCTGGCCTCGGCCGAGAGGGCGGCGCTCGCCAAGTCCCTCAAAATGACGGACGCGCAGGTCAAGACCTGGTTCCAAAACCGGAGGATCAAGTGGCGGTGAGAGAGGCCGGCTCGGCCCACATTGCACCTGCCCTTCACCTGCCCCGCCCTGCAGCCTCGCACCCTTCCGTCCTAATGCCAACCCCACCACTCCCCCAGGGCTGCGCCTTCCCCCTTTTCTCTCCTCTCAGGCCTGAGTTTCTCTCCATTTCTCTGGAGCCAGCGCCGCGGCTTCTCCATCCCCATCCCATCTCGTGGGTCCCTCCAACTCTGCGTGTTTTGTTCCGTGTTCTGCGCGCACTCGGGTTCTTCTCACCCGTCCCCCAAACCACACGCACCGGCCTCCTGCACTCTTTCTTTCCTCACTCCAGCCCGCCCTCTCGATTTCCGACAATCCGCGCTAGCTCTCGGTCCCTTCTGGCTTCGCGTCCCTACTCCAGCCCACTTTTTTCGATCCTTATTCCAATCCAACCCGTGAACGGCGAAGCGATCCTGTCCTGAAAAGGGTTCGAGCTGGGCCTGGGAGGAGACCAGCCGCCCTGGGGGCGCCGCGTGGGCGTGCAGAGCCAGCGGGCCCACCCGTGGACCTTGGTGACCCTGCCGCCCGCAAGGCTGAGTCTGTCACACTTAGGCCTGCTCTTGTTATCCCGCGAGAGAAACGATCTTTATTATTGGCGAAGCCACAATACCCGGGCGTGCAGGTGGGCGGTAGGCAGAGTTCGCTCCTGGCGACCCCCAGGCGCCCAAGAACAAACGACCCCAGCCCACTCCCCAACACGAGGGCCTGGGGCGTAAAGCGCAGGCCAGAGGCAGACTCGTTCTGCCCCTCGAGGCCTACGCTGCCCTCGGCTCGGCTCCCGGGAGGGTTGGGGCCCCTCTGGCGGCCCCGGGTGCCGGGTGCATGACGGTGCTGTCCTCTCCCTCCCCCGGTGCAGGCGGCAGACGGCGGAGGAGCGGGAGGCGGAGCGGCAGCAGGCCAGCCGGCTCATGCTGCAGCTGCAACACGACGCCTTCCAAAAGAGCCTCAACGACTCTATCCAGCCCGACCCGCTCTGTCTGCACAACTCGTCTCTCTTTGCTCTGCAGAATCTGCAGCCCTGGGAGGAGGATAGTTCCAAGGTCCCCGCCGTCACCTCGCTGGTGTGAGCCACCAGCGCGCACTGTCGCCACGAGTCGCTGCCCCCGCCCCGCGGGGCGCCCT